TAAATTACCAAATGAATATAGTTTTTATGATTATCGTAAAAGTAGAAACATCGGATTTAGCAGAACAATGTGCGAACAAAGGCAAAAAGAACTTAATTTCCTGAAATAGTCAAACTGGATCTCATATTAGGAACTCTATTTTTTAGATCTGTGAATTTACGTTCTTAGTACAAAGAAGCGGAATATTTTCTTCTGTATTTTTCCAGTAGATTGTAAAAGAATACATGTTTTTTTTAGCTTTTAAATATGTATCTACTTGTAATAAAAATGTTTTTTTTTATCGAAAATTATATTTTAAAAGAAAAGTGGATCTCATATAACAAAATAAAAATCTATACTAGATCGATGATGAAATTGACGCGTTACAGTTCTCACTAATTTTCGTTAATCCGAAGTAGATGGAATGTCGGGGAATGCACGCCGAAGCACGAACTTGAATTTTCGAATGCAGTTTCTGCGATCGATTCGCGCGGAAGAATCGGTTTTCCTGCATCGAGAACGTCGGCCATCCCTGCAGTGTTGTGCATCTCTCTTCATGCATCGCAATGTGTTGCTGGACTGCATTACGCAATATGTCACCGTCGGATCATTCGGGTCGACACGCCGTGGGAGGTCTCTACCGAAGTTCCCGAAACGTTCAAATTTCCGGGGGAAATTGACTGGACGCGCGATGGACGTCCCGGTTTCCACGGCTAACAATTACGCTAACGAACGAAAGCTTAAAACCCGATCGGTTTCGCTTCGCTTATAATGCGGATAAATAATAGAAAAACGAAGCCGAATCACAGACGCGTTGCTCGGACCCCTCGTTAAACAATGAAATATCGCATGCGAAAATATTGCTCGAAATGCGCCGAGCGTTGCTACGAAATTATGGAGATATGAATGCAGAATTATTCATAAAATGGAAATGCTTTAATAAAATGGAATAACTTTTTAAGAATTGAACCAAATGTGTCTTGAATCTTTTTGGCATGTTGTTTTTAAATAGAAAAAATTTGAAAAAAAATTGGAATCATAAAAAAGACTTTAAATGATGTTTTATTATCTGAGCCAGTGAGAAAAATTGAAAAACTGTATTGTGTAGCTTTCGGTAACTTACAGTCGGTCCCGAAAATATTCAGACATCTTTTGTAATTGGAATCGGCAACTTGAATTTTTTGTAGACGATATGGGAACGAATTTTCGTAAAAATTTGCAGTTGGTTCGAATAATAAAAGAAATTAAACAATAGTGTCTCTAAACTTTTTTGTCCGTGCTTGTAACGAAAATTTTGTAGATATTGGTAACTCGTATACATCCGGAAAATTTCATCGAAATCGGTTAACGCTTGAAAGTAGTCCGATTAACATCTCAAAAAAATTCAAGTTATAATGACCAATTTCGAAAAAGTTATTCTATTTCAAAAAGCGTCAAATTACTTTTTAGTATAATGAAAAGCATTGAAGCAATGTAACTTTTGAAACGGATTGTAATTAGCTTTTTCATTTAGCACTTGTTGAAGAGCATAACGATTTGTGTATGCATGTATAATTTGTGCATATTTATTATGGAAACATTAATTCAATGTTTTCACGAACTGTACACGATAAAAGATCAGTATCCAATTCTAATCTAACCCTGACCTGTGTATGTCGGAAAATGATTAGTTTAGCAGATATTTTAACTTTAATCTTGTGGATTGTTAATGTAGATATTGCGGTGCCCAAAAGAGCATATTATGTACATTAAGGTTTTCACAATTGGTAAATGTACATTCATCGAAAACTAATACTAAATATTTGCTAAACTAATAATTTTTCGACACACATAGATCATTATCGTATTATAAAAAATGTCGAGCTGTGTCAGCTAATAAAAAATATATGATTATGGTTAAGAAAGTGAAGCTGGACTTAGAATCTCCGAAAATTTTCCAACTGCAAAAAAATGATTACCGCCATATTGTAGATTGATTATTGATAATAAAATTTTACAATATCTCGGAAAATAATAGGGATATTTAGGTGGCCTCCTTTTGCTTGTACACTACAGGGTATTCCATAATTATGTTAGCACCTGGAAAGGGGTGATTCTTGAGATCATTTGAAGTAACTTTTTCCTTAGCGAAAATGCAATCCGCAGCTTTATTTACGAATTATTAACGAAAAATAGTGACAAATGAGAAACGAGATCAGCCGGCACGAAGCAGCCAAACCAACGAGCGCACGAAGCCCTGTTCCGCTCATTGGCTCGGTCGTCTCGCGCCAGCTAATCTGGCCTCTCATTGGTCGTTGTTTTTCGTTAATAACTCATAAACGAAGCCGCGAATTGCATTTTCGCTAAGGAAAAAGTTACTTCAAATGACCTCAGAAATCGCTTCTTTCCGAGTGTTAACATAATTATGGAACACCTTGTAGTGTTTTTTTTATATGTTTATATGAAATCAAAATATTTTTCTTTGAGAAATACAGAATATCCAATTGATATATATACATATATATAAACACACCTGCTCGTTAGAATTCCTATTTTTTGACCAAACATAACTTACCGCTAAAATAGTGAAATAGCGACGCTGGAAAATGGTTCGCGAAATGTTTGCGGCAGGCTATCGCGGAGATAACATTATGTTACGGTCAGTAACTTGTTTTCAACCCCGAAACAAATTATCGGAACTTTATTTACCGAGCAACGGGTACACGTCGATACCGAAAATCTCGAAATACAGTCGGCGTATCTAGACTCCGCTAAGGGATGATCGATGGTGGAAGAGTAAAACCTCGAGACTCGACTTCTAGCCCTTATTCTCCACGGTTTTCGTGGGGTACGATTGCCAATTGACTCGATCCGTCGAGAATCAGGCAATTTGGTGAAGTGTATGCCGAAAGCACGTGCGCGTTTCCAAACTGTTTGAACGGCCTGCATTCGTTACTTTCTTTCTCTCCTATCCGCGTCGTCTCCGTCCCTTGATGCGCATTCTGACGAAGGGATGCTACTTCTGGTTTCACCGCACGAACCAATCATACGGGTGCAACCGATCTGGATCGTTTCGCGTCAACACAATGGACGATATTCTTGCAGATTTCTCGAAGTGATTCGGGTCTCTAGTAGAACTGTCTAACGCAGCTAAAATTTATAATAGAATGAAAACGTGGTGAATTGCATCGACACGTTCAAGAAAAGTAAAAATTTGAATGAGCTGCAGAAATAGACAGGTGATTTATTCTTAAACTAATTTCTGTGACATCCAAACTTTGATGAGTCACATCTTGTCCGAGTGCTTGAAATATCACATTTTAATTGTTATATTTTAATACACAAAGAAAGGACAAAATAAAATTAAAATACTCTATGAATCGATTAACTATCATATTAAATATAATTAATTATGTATTATTATTAATAATGTAGCTTTTTTATAAATTTGAATGTTATAGCATTCGCAGTAATTTTATATCGCAATGAAGATGAATATGTTGAGGGTGTTAAGAGCGGATCCTCGTGTAACAAGTAAAAACTGATTTGATTTTCATGTCTCAAAAAATAACGACGATACTAAAAACTAAGACATATTTTCCGAATAGGTGTACGCTGTAACTAAAAAAATAATTGACCAATTGACTATGGCTTATTGTTTTTCATATACCTTTCTCCAAGTACTGTACTTAACATTTATTTTATTTTCCATTTAGACAACTTTTAGGATACATTTTAAGCTACAGTTTTATATCAGGAAAACATTTTTATTCAGAATATCATAGATTTTTAAATTTCCATACTTTTTGTTGAAAAATGGAAACTACCGGAAATCAACTAGCTTTAAAACAATTTTTGTGATTGATGTCTTTAATAACTCTGTGTAACCCGACTGTAATTTGGAATGGCATCAATAAGGAACTAGAGGATTTGAATTAGTACGCGTCTTATTTTAAAAAGAAATGATTAAGGTTTTTATTCAAATATGTGAAGAAATGAATAATACCTAGCAACGATGATTTTCAACTCAAAGGAAAAGGATTTTATTCTTAGATACATCATAAAACTTTGCTAAAATTAGTCTCAGGTCTGACAAGCATTAATTATATGTGAGCAATTTAATTTATTTTTATGACGACGATTTAATTAAAT